TTCCAGGAACCACACATATTCTGACTTCAGATTTACTGAAATTGTTTACAGGTCCATATCCCCTCTGAAAGTCTGCACTCAGTGAAAGTAGGCTCTAAATATACATTTGTTGGAACTTAAATAATCCAAGGAGTAGTCACTTATCTGTTTACTGCAAGCCAGAACATCAATGAACAAAACAAGTAAAAATCACTGGCCTCATGAAGTTTATACCATTTCTAGACTTTGAGAATGGTATCAGTTATCAGTTTAACTGGAGAAGGGACATGATATCCTATGGGGCTTAAACTCATGAGTAGTAATATGCTTTTATTATATCTACTATTATTATTATTATTAGATCCTAAATCTATTCTCCACCCACAAGAGAAGAGCAACCAACTAAAAGGGACACATTTGGGCTGGCTGAGTGTCGCGATGGTTAAGAGCTGGCTTGGGACGCCAGAGGGCCCCAGTTCGGATCCCACACATGAGGGCTACTGACACTGCCCTCTACAGCTAAGATGCTGAACAACAGCTCAACCTGGAGCTGGGCTGCCGTGAGTCACCGGTGACAGTGGCGCGTAGGCTGCAGCCCCTGTGGCAGTGGGTTGCCATGGGCTACCGTATGTAGCCAGCAGCCAGCGTGAGCAGCCATCCTGAGGCTGGCGACTGATCTGCCTCGCCCAGGAAGAGCGCAATGATGGTGCCAACTTGGGCCAGTGAAGCAATGTCCTCCACAACTAGACTGAAGAACAAAAGGATAGCAACTTCTCTGTTCCCATCCCCCAACCCCCCAATTAAAAAAAAAAAAAAGAAATACAAATGCTTTTCTGTGCTAAATATTATCTTATGCTCAATATTATGCTAAGTACGCTACTCGGAATAAAGAAGTAAATGAGACAAACATGTTCCCTGACTGTCTAGCACGGAAGACAGATATTTTAAAAAGTAATCACATATATGTAATTACAAATTATAATAAGCTACTGTGGCCGAAATTACTGATTATCCCCAGTATTTATCCCCGCTTCTTACTCAGTACCAGAGCCCCTGAGTTTTATCGGCCCCTGGCCACCTGGAAGAAACTACACTTCTCAGCTTTCTTTTCTCCTACTGACTAAGTTCTGACCAATGGGATCTAACTGGAAGTGGTACATACAACTTTCAGTAAACATCCTTAAAAAGAAAGGGTTTGCTCTTTGTTGCTTCTCCCCTTTCTTACCAGATGGAGCAGCTATTTTGGACTATGGTGTGGAAGCTTCCTGCTGAGAATGGCAGGGCAACAGAGGAGGAGGAGCTTGGGTGCCCTGACGCTGTGGAACCACTGTCACCAGCTCTAGTCCACCTACAGAGCTTTTACATGAGAGGGGAACAAAATTCTACCTTGGTTAAGCCACTTTCACTTTGAGTTTTTAGTCATTCACAGCTGAACCTAATCCTAAGTGGCAGAGTGGTGAAGGAAAAATGAAAGGTTCAATGAGAGATTATAATAGAAATAGTTGATTTTGACAGGAGGGAAGGGTTTCAGGGATAGGACTTCTGAAGAAGTCACATTTAAGCTGCAATCTGATGCCTGGAGGTGGGGTGGCAAACTGTTCAAGGCAGAGGAAATTAAAGATGCAACTACTATGGCTTAAGCCTGAATCACCACAGGGACAAGCAACAAACTTTGGGATGATAAGATTGCTTCTACAACGAATTAGAATGAAAGCAGAGCTTGAAAGCAACTAAGTGTGTTGGCTCCAATATCAGAATCTCTGCTCTGACAAGCACAAGACCACATACGCATGTCAAAAATGAGGAATGAGGAGTGCAGAATGAGAATGAACCATGTTAGAGAAATGAATAATGGCTTCCACACTTCAGCATTACCAGTGTTTAAAACAGTTGGACTCTCTGATTAGAGTGGTTCATATAACACGAAGAGAATATCATTAGATTTTTAAATGCTAACTATGAAACAGACAAGAGTTTCGTGTTCAACTTTCTTTTTAAAATAACGTTTCTTGTCTATTTCTGATTATAAAAAGGAAACATATTTATTGTGGAGAATATAGCAAGTATATATAAGAGTATAAAGAAAAAATAAACTATCTGTAAATATATGTAAGACTAAAGAAAAAATAAACTACCTGTAAATTTAAAAATAAATGACCTATAAAGTATCATTTTATACCGACATTTTTTATACATATTTACACCCCTATATACATATAATACCTACAACACATACACAAATGGGATTGTAACGCATATGAAATTGCACGTGCTTTTTCACTTATTTTGTCATGAGCAGATTCCTATGTCATTAAAATAAGTCTGAAGTCATGATTTTTAAATGGCTACATAACACAATTTCTTTAGCCAATCAAGTCTAGGGATTTCCAGCCTTAAAAACTGTCAACTTGACCCAGTAAGTCAAAAGATGACTTCAAAACCTGCCATGGAAAGTTTCTATTCAGAAACCTCAAGCTATAGTTTGAAAGCACTGCAACCTTCTAATCAAGAATTCAATGAAATTCACTGAGTTTTAGCGATGAAGGGTGCTCCCTCAAGACCATATTCTCCCAAATAGAGCGTACTATTTCATAATTAGTCTTGAGGAAGAAATTGAATAAGTATCAAAGACTGAGGTAGCAATAACAAACAAGAACTAGTAAGAGCTTACTGTAAGAATTAATGACTACAATAGTTTCATTTTTTTTAATAAAGTAAGAGAATGCATGCATCTGTTACTTGCATAATTAAGTTTTCAAGTGGATATAGAAAAAAATAATTACAGAAAAACGCATATAGAAAAAGGAAACAAGTAACAACAAAAGGTTAATCATTGTTAATTCTGGACTATGACATTCTTTGAACTATTCTGTATTTAAAATTTTTCTCACAGTCAAAAAATTAATGTTAAATTAAAATACAAGTCATGTGAGTAAGGTAATTCAGATTTGAGTTATTAAATTAGAAGGCAAATCATTAAGTTTCTTTCCCCAGAGGCTAAGTAGATCTTGTGAGATAAAAAAACAAAAAGCTGAGCATTCGGCATTAGGAGTTTGTTCTAAAATAATACTATTTTATACTAAATATCAATGTTTCATGTTGAAAATAAGTCTGAGGAAAAACTAGCTTTTAAACTTTATGGCTGTGCTTCCTTCACACACTATCCTACCAAAAAATGATACATTTTCTGTTCTATCAAAAAGGTTATTTTTAACAGCTAAGTAAATATTTTTTAAAATTGCAAGGTTGTGTTTCAGTTCCTGAGTCTAGTTCTCTTTACTGATGCTAGACGCATTTTTTTTTAAATTCTAGTATCTAAAATCCAAACAGTTCAGATGACAGTTTGCCACTTGATGAAATGTCTTACTGAACATAAATGGTTGCAATTTTTTTTATTAAGTGAGGTCTCTAGAAAAAAAAAAAAGAAATAAAGTTGCAGAAATAAACCAAATCTCTACATCAGTGTTCACAAACAAAAATTTCAAATAAATGCAAATTGTTTTTAATTACCCCCCATTTTCCTCAAATGTAGCCTTAGGTTGTCTTAACTTTGTGACAGCATCCCCCGCCCCCTACTCCACTAATCAGTTCTCACCTTCTTTCCCTGCTGGAACACGTGAATTTTTCAGCAAAAGTGACTCATTCATTGGCATCTTGTCAAACTAACCCTGAAACTATAAAGAGGCTCAGCGCTAACAGAATTCGAAAGCTAGAACGCTTTCACTAACACACATCATTTTGACTTTAGAGAACTGAATCACTATCAGAGCCAAATACATATTAACAAACTCTGTTTATACTTTTCCTTAAAAACTGTTCTCCACCATGCCACCTCCTCCCAATTTTAGTTTGGCAAAGCCCTAATCTAAAACACTTCCTGTCTCTGGAGAAGACAAGATGGGGGAACGTAGAAGCATAAGAACAGGAAGGGGGAGAAAAAAAAAAGCAGTTGTTCATTCAGCTTGGAAAAAGATTCTATTCTGAAATATCAACAACTCATATCTATTCCACAGAGTTCTCAAAATTTATTTCTCCCCTTAGTTAAATGAAAACACAATACAATATACAATACAAAACAATAAAAAATCTCCAGGAATAAATTACTCTCATTGCTATTATTTCACTAAAAAAAAGTTGAAAAAACAACATAAAAATCAATTATTGAGAACTATTTAGTCAAAAATCTTCAGTGAGATATCACTAGCATTAACTATCAATTGCAAATCAGCGAATCATTTTGGTTCACACACATTTACATACTCCAAGCTAGAAAACTGCTCCTTTTAACCAAAGGGAGAGTAGTGGGGAAGGAACCAAAAAACAAATGATTTTCCAGATTACCATAGACATTTACTTATAGCTTTATCAATTGTCACACTCCACCTGGTGGCAGGAGCTGTCTGAACTGGTGAAGTGGAGGTCATTATACAAGACATTCCAAAGAATACTTGCCAGGCTTCCTTGGGAAAAAGCAAGGTGGTCTTGCCCTATATAGATTAAGTCTAACAAGGTTCCACCAAAGTTTTGTCACATAATAGTAGTTCAGTATCTAATAAAGATTAACTTAAAGGTATAACAGTAATCAGAAAGGGAGACCTACATTTAGAGCAATCTATTTACAACCATTAGCTCCATGTAAGTTAAATGTCGCTTCAAGCTTTTAAAACAGGTAACTAGGCACATCCAGCAGCCGCAAGATTCTCTATCACATATTCCCACTAACTTTCTTTACTCCTTTCCCCTATGGGTAAACTACAGAGTTTAATTAACACAGTTAACAGCAGCTTGCCACATTGCTTTTAGATATTCGCCAGTAACATATACCCATGGGATACTCGAGGGACTGATTTCAACCAAAAATAAAAATAGATAAACAGAGCTCAAACAAAATTAAAACTGAGTCTGGCTGCCCACACTTATTTTCACACATAAGGAAAAATAGCAGTTCTCCTAGAAGCCTCAAGCAGGCATATCTTTAGAACACAATGTTAAAAATATGCCCCCCCCCCTTTTTCCCCTACCTGTTTCTCACTCAAAGCTGTGATTTTGGCTTGGAGTTCATGAAGCTGTTTCTTTAAATCAGCATTCTGATTGGAAAGAAAAAATATCTGTGAGAAAGATATTTCATTCGTTAACAGAATAGTAGCAAGAAGACTTTATGCATACTGCATTACAAACGATGAAACAACCTTAAGCATTTAGCCAATCAAATTTACCATGCATTAAACTGGAGTCATATTATCACTACCTAATGCATAGATCCTAAAAATAGGTTCCTAACACTAGGACAGGGGGCAGCTCCTTAGCAACTATTTTACATTATAAGAAGTTTTATATTTTAGCATTTTGCACTGTAATAGTACTACTTCTTACTGAAAAATAGTTATTTTTTATATAATAGAAAGTATCAGTTGACAGAAAACCTAAAGCTCCACTAATCAGACAAAAGGAGGAAAATGGAAGTTATAAAGTCTGCGTACACTGCATGCTTAATGGCATTATCAATAAAGATAAGAGATTTTTCTCTACTTACCCTCTCCCTTATTTAGTGGAGGACATTTGTTATTTTAGCCTACATTTGAAAAGCCATCAGAGCTACAACTGCCTTAACACTACATCATTCAAATTAACACACTACCAGGGCATTTTCTCAGTTCTCAAATTCTATGAATCAAAAAGGATACTATTTTAGATGAGATACACCGAGTATGCTTGCCTTATACTCAAGTGGGGAAAAAAATACAAAATTAAACTTTTCAAATGTTTAATGTAGCAGGATAGCCTACTAGCAGACTGAACACCACCCCAATGAGAGACCCCTTTTTCTTCATCGTTTCACATGTAATTCTTTCAATTCGCCCTGCCTGGTCTGCCAGGGTTGGGTCATACATCCTCCCTCTCATGTTTACTCCACGTGGTCTTTTTCATAAGTGTATTTGATATAAGGCCTTTCTAATGAGATAACCCACAAGGCTGTCCAACAGTTTTCTGCGCCTCCGATTCTTCGTGTTAAGAGTGCTCTGTTAGGGGGTGACTGGTTAGCTCAGTTGGTTAGAGCATCATGCTGATAACACCAAGGTTGCCGGTTTGATCCCCGCATGGGCCACTGTGAGCTGTGCCTTCCTTAAAAGAGTCAACTATGCCACGGTAGCATGAAAGGAATGTATAACCAGTGACCATGGCTGCTGCCCAATAAAACAACAAAAAAGACTGTTCTGTTATATGACCCTCAGCTATATCAGAAATGCTGAAGTTTCTACTAATATTTCAGTTGCTGATAACATAGGTTACCATATTAAATATAAAAGAATCTATTAATCTAAGGTCTACTGCCTCTTCATTCCCTAAATTTAATTTACATAATATATTTCAAAAATAAATAAAAATGGAGAAGCTTCTCACACAAGTTGGAGTGTCAAACAGGAGTTAAGTGTGGGCTCTCAATGCCAGCTCCCTGATCAATAGACTGTGTTTAAAGCACAATGGTTAGGCCACCAGATGCTAAATTTGTAGAAATGAATACTAATCCTACACTCAAAAATCAATCTGCCTCAGTACCATTCCTCAATCCAAGAACTTCTTTTACTTAAATTTAGAATGAGGCATGTATGGTATGTTAACAAGCTAAAAATATATATACATATATTGAGTACCCGCTGATGAGTCTAGGTGTTCTATGAACAGATTATGAGCAAACAAATGCAAGGGAGAAATCCTGAGAGAGTCTGATAAATACTCTCCATGCTTATGACCCACTGTCTAAAGGCTGTAGAAGAAACACTGCCCGAACAATAAATAAAATCATCGAAGACAAGATAACTTTTCAGGAAGATTTCTCCTCAGGGATAGAGAATAAAATGCCTAACTCAAAAACTTCTATGAGAATATAAAGAAAAGGTAACATTTGGTGGATTATTACATAAGGTACTTTTAAACCCTCTTTAAGGGCTTTTTCAAAAATAAAAAAAAATTTAATGCTTTTTAAAAACTATTCTAAAATTCTTACCCTGAACATAGTGGGATTAAGTATTTAAATGTTCTGTACTATATCTGTATTATAAAGTATGAGAAAATAAGAATGGTTCTGGGCCATTTCAATAATTTTGAGACTACAGAAAGCCTCACAAACTCTGATTTTGAATAAGTGGGCTTACGGAAATAAATTTAAGTTATATGAAGAGTATTAACACTCAATTTTCCCCCCAAAATATTCAAGCAATTAACATAAAAGCAAATAACAGTAACAAAGATGAAATGATAGCTTTATTATAACAGAATGCCTGAATTTTTCTAAGCCTCTAAAACATGATGATCAATATGCTAATATCATTGCTATGAAAGATGAGATAGCTTTTAAATTTTAAGTATTGGTCTATATTTTAGTAATTTATGGTCACTTTATTTTAAATTATTTTAATTTAAAATTTAAATGAATAAAAGTAGCAAGTTACCTGTGGATCCTGCTTCATTTGAGCAACCAATTTCTGATAATAAAGAGAGAAAAAGAGTCATCAGTTTTACATATTAACTCACTATGACTAATCAGGTTTGGCCCAAAATCTAGAATGTTAAGTCCACACACACAAAAAAACGAGCAACACCACAATCAGAATAGACCAAAGGTTTCTGTGATCTATATAAAAGGTTAATGAGACACTCTTCTTAATATATAAAAACAAAATCAAACTACCACTTTATATTTGAAATAAAAAGCTCCTGCTTTTTAACAAATCTGGAGATGGGATGGGGGTGGAGGGTTTTTAAAAGGCAATTTACACCAGCTGGGTGCTCCAAAGCCAAACATCTCTTTAAAATGTTGTCATTGTCTAGAGTCCCAAACAAGGCCGGGAAAGAAGCTGCTCCCATACAAAACAGGCCTGTTTGAATCCTGCAAAGTGCAGATTTCGCAAGTCTGCTGGTTTGGTTCTTACCGCAGAAGGAGCCTAGTGTCAGATGTGACTTTGCTACTGTCTTCACTGTGAGGGGAGAGGACGATGTGCTCAGTAGAGCAGTGATGCTCAATATTTGAAAATCAGGAAGTGAAGGAGCAATAATGCAAAACTCTACCTACCTGGGTTCCTCTGGGAAGGAGAGTGCTACCAGAATACTGAATGAGAAGGACCTTTACTAAGAAAAACAGAAGTCTAAACAAATGAAAAACAAAGAAAAATGTTGTTTGATCTAACCCAACTTCTAAAAGCATTGCTGCCCAGAGGTAACAACGAGGGATAAAAACATTTGAAGGATGAAGGAGTATCAGAAGTCTGATTCCTAAAAGTATCTGGGAACAAGCTGTTCCCCAAGTGAATTTTTCATCTAACTGAAAATCTGTCCCTCTCTTTGGGTGACAGGCAGTTTTAAATGTTTTAGTCATAAAATAAAGTCTTTCTAAAATATAGTATATACTTATCTGCCTTCTTAAATAGGAAAAACAGGCTTTTATTGATACCTAGAAGCATGATTACAATCACTAATATATTATTCTACAAACAATACAAGAAGGTCCTCACTGCTGTTTTAAAGAATTCTGTGTCTGCATTTTAGCATCTCACTTGAATGCCAGTCAGCTAGCAAATCTTGCTACTATTATTATGCCTCCCTCTCACAGCCTCTGAACCCCAACTCAGATTTGCTCCTTCTGATCTGCTGTGTAATACACTCAGTGAACTAATTCCAAGATGAATGAATTAGGCTGTAATAACCTAAGAAATCCCCTTGAGTAAAATGGATAATCTTTCGTAAACGACTTCTAACGTTTATTCTAGTTGGTCGAAAGTCTTTACTTCAGGTGCTAAGCTATAATACATTCTAGATAACTGAGGATGCCAACCATGTGACCTCCAAATACACAAGGTACATATTACTATACTCTACTATACATGTGACACATAGTAACTCTTCTATATCCTGGTCTTAATCTACAAAATAGTAATAACACACATTCCAAGAGCTCAATGATATTGAAAAACAAGGTTTTTATACATATACATTTTTAGTAACACAGCCTAAAAGATAGCCACACTCTTCAATGAAAAAAACTTGGGGTTTTCCTTTTTGATTTTGTTACTAGAGTTGGCTATTATATGAAAGCTGCCTTTTTAAAGCTGAAAAAGATTTTCTTCCATGACGCTGGAATTTAAAAACTGACTGATAACTATTCTAAGTCTCCACCTCTAGAAAAAATAATTAAATCACCTTTTCTACCTATAAGCAGTCAAGCTGCATTTTATACATCATCTGAGGCAGGACTGGACACGCTGGGCAACTTAAGCATCCAAATTCCTAGTGACTTTAAGGTAACATTGTGTTATCAAACTTCAGTTACTTTCTATTGCAAGAATGCAGCAGTCTTTTATGAGCACATACTTGATGCCAGGGGTTGGCACACTATACAGCCCACAGGAAATCTGATCACCCACTTGTTTTTGTAAATAGTTTTATTGGTACACAGCCATGCCCATTCATTTATACATTTTGTCTATGGCTGCTTTGTCCGTACAGCAGCAGAGCAAGTATTGTGACAGAGACCATAAATGACTTACAAAGTATAAAATATTTGACTATTTGGCCCTTTACAGAAAGCATTTGCTAAGCTCTGCTTTATACTACTCTGTTCCATGAAGAGTAAATACTTTGAAATTTAAATATGGTTTCCATTAAATCTGCATAAGAATCATCAAAAAGGCAATTTCTCAAAAAAGATGAGATGTCTATCACGTTTATTATTTAAACATTTATTCAACAGCAACCATGGATACATCGCTACTTTCTTAATCATCTCCTATCCATAAAGAACAAAAATTTACTTCCATCACGGCAATACTAGGTAGTTCCATAACACACTTTCTATCCAGTAAGCTCAGTCTCAGCCCTAACTTCATACCCTAACTGAAAATGTACCAAAGGGTGGCTTCTGCCGCAGCCTAATAGCCAGTGCTTACTTTGATGTCATTTCTGGGCATCCCTGAACTTGTCAGGACCAGTGATCATATAGGTTCCCACATATCCAATCAGAATAACAATATAAGATTTACAAACAAGGCATGTCACTTGGATTTACTGTTAATTCTTAAATTTTTTTTGAAAAGTAGAAAGGTATTCTAAATGTAACTGGAATGAAAATATCTTATATACTTTAAATGTTAAAATACTACCAATAAACATATAAATGTTTATTACTGCAAAAACAGAATATATAATAATTAAGGATGAATATGAAAGCTATTAATTTTATGCTAAAAAACAAATAGTTAAATCTATAGGGAAATAGACAATGTGAATACTGAGTGGGATAATTTAGGAAGAATATATATCCCTTTTGAGTCAACAAATGTAATTTTAAAATGTAAATTAGATTTTAGAACAAAATGTACATTAAATTTTTTCAGTTATAATTTTCATAAAATTGGTATGCTTGAATTAAAACACAAAACAAAATAATATTTAAGAACTCTATTCAATTTTTAGTAATTTAGTAGGTCACCAGTCTTTCAAGAAAATCTTACTGGGATTTGTTCATATCTTGTGAGGATGAACGAAAAGCAGAATGTCAACTTTGCCATCTCAAAATTTCTTGAGAAGAGGAACATCTCCAAAAATCACATACAATTTATTAAATTATCTCTGATCCATGCAAATTTAGATTGATTATTGTTCTCTAGAAATTCATTCTATGATGACGTCAGCTTTGAACAAATTGTGAACTTAACTATCATCATTTGCCATTCAGCCAACTTGGGTATTCAACACACCTCTGTGTTAAAATACTTTCGTCCAGGAGGAAAAAGACAAGCTTGTTTTTGTAAACAGATTTTTAGCCTCCTCAATTAGTACCAGAAGCAACGCCAAATAAAATAAAACGTGCTTATTTTATTATATACTAAATTTAAATATATAAAACTTATTACATAATAAATTTCTTCGAGTTACCATAAAAACAAAACACACTTCATAGAGAAAGCCTGTCTACACAGCAAATTCTAAGACCACTGCTGAGCAAGAGTTTAACAAGATGCAAAGCAGCAGCAGGGATTTCTGAACATACAGAGAATTAATGTAAAAAGTACGTACGTACGTACGTACGTACGTACGTGTGTGTGTTTGTGTGTGTGTCTCTGTGCATCTATATACATATATGTGCCTTTTTAAGCTTTCTCATCCACATAATTCTGAGCAACTTGCAAATTTAGTAGTTATCAAAAGCCCAAGGTGTTCTTCCAACAATTTCAGAAATTAACCTTATAATAGACTATTCAGATAAAACAAAGGAAACCATACCTTAGAACAAACACCTTTAAAAAATAGTTCCCTTCTCCTATTCCAACATTCTGAACACTAAATAGTAGTCAACTCATCATCATTTCTCACGTTTTATTACCAAACATTATACACATGTATGTGTCTCTTGAACCTAGTACCACATCCAACTAATGTCTAGAAAAGAGATATAAAACAGTGATATTCTGTTTATATAATAAATGTTAATGACTTATTAAGGACAATTTTTTGTCTTGGTTACAGTTATATTAAATACAACATATTATACATATTTAATATATAAGTTATATTTAATATATAATGTATTTTAACATAATTATTATAGCATATAAATATAATTATTAATGTATATTTTTATTTCTATATTTTAAAGGTTTGTTTAGCCTAAGTACCTGAGGTTAAAATGCAAGAATTGTGAAATCTGAAATTTAAACATCTGTGAAGGGAATCACATTTTCTTTACTCACAATTGGAATCAAAGCATGAAGGTGAATTATGAGGAAAAACTTGAGCATAAATGGTAGTCGAGTTAAACACATCTCATTTAAAATTACAGGTTAAGTCATAAGTCACCTGAGCCAAGTCCCTCAAATAAACCAAAAACAAAATGAAAGAGAGGTTTTTTTAAACAACTTTGGTATAGGAAAACAATATTTTCAGTTCTTTTCTGTGGAAAGGAAATCAGGAAAATTTATTGAAGTTCTTAAAAGTATTATCAATGAGTTTATTGAGTAGTGATAAAAGGCAAATGATATGACTTGGACAACTGTCTGGAAGAGGATTAAAACTGCACTAGCAATCAGAGATGGGCCTGTTTACTAATCTTAACCATTACTTAACAACGCGATGCTATTATGGCAGAAGCCAATAATGCAACATACCTGGTGAACCTGAATTTCCACTTTAAGAGCTTCCTGTAGAGTCTGCAACTCCATCCTCTACCTTCTCCACTTTCTCTTATGTCTGCTAATTCTACAGTTTCTTCAGCCTCCGTTTAAAATAACAAACTCCTCTTCTCACTGCAGCTGTAGAGATCATACAATGTTTTGGATCATTATGTTAGGCATAAAGGAAATATTCATGTTAAATCAATTACAGTAGTTGAAAAATATCTGATTCTCTAACACAGGGCAAGAAATTTCCCAAACAGATTTCTTTCCAAAATGAATAGTGTTGTACGGAATCGCTACCAAAAACTTTCTGGGTTTTACTCTTAGAGCATTCCTCTACAGAACACTTCAAATAAGTAAGAAATGAAAAAAAAAAGTGTTTAATCTGGTTATGAAAACATCTAAGCATGTACTATGTGCTCAGCACCACACTACATACTACATTCTAAAGATACAGAGCTGAACAAAACCACTTCTGCCCTAGATGAGCTGGGAGCAGAGAAGGGAGGCTACCATCATCCAGGACACACTGTTCTTCGAAAGAGACACATAACAAGAGGGTCATACATTTTTAAACATCACACAGAGTGAACTGGAAAGTTCAGGGTCTCTCAGAGGTTAATGAAGGGCAGAGTACTTTCATTTAGGTGACTCTTACTCTATTTTTAAAAACTTTTTAAAATGAAAATGGGAAAATTCTGCTGTGAGTTAAAGGTTTACATTTAACAATACTTAACGCAAATACAAGGCAATGTAACTGTTGTTTTCCACGAAGTTATGACAGGGATGTTAAAAAAATAAATCTATTGTGCACAACAGATGAGGTAGTCTAGCAGTGGAACAGACGTTTCCAGCTTAAAATGAACACCATCTTTTCAAAGTTGCCAGTGCATCTCTTTGGCTGTGTGTATCACTGCATGTGGAGATAATGTCGGAAGTCTAGATTTGTGAAGGTGAACCTTCCTAGTCTGCTCCACTCATCACTACTGCAATTGAAATTAACTCAATGGATAATTTCTCTGTTAATTTTTTTCTTTTTTCTTGAATATAGCCTTAGACATGATTTTAGGTACTCTTCCAAAGCAAAAGCTTGCTTCTGCCTGAATAAATTTAAACTTGACTTCTTTTTCTTTTCTTCTTTGTACCTACTATAAAACTTGTAGTTAGAGCAACTTTTCAGCATTCTTTACAAACTGAGGAAGGGAACAATCAGGAAGCTAAAAGAACCACTACTCGTACTTCAACCAGTTCAATGAGATTCATAAGTTTTACACTTTCTAAAAATTACTTGTCTGTGGATAAAATCCATACTCGACCTAAGTTTTCTTAAAATTTCTTTAAAACCTGATTTGACAGATAAAATTCCACAGAATATATGTTTATGAATATTAGTTTTCATTATATTTGCTTAACCTCGCTAGGCTTAAAACATCACTTGCAATCTCTCCCCTAAGGCTTATATATATATATATATATATATATATATATATACTATGTTTTGTAATATCAAAGCACTCTAACCTAAAAAACAATAAATTTCAAAAGTGTAAAATTCCTTCAAATTCACATTTGTAGAGGCTAGAAAAGGATTATTGTACAACGATATTATTAGCCAAAACATTTCATAAAGGTGATGTTTACGTGAGGTAATTTGGAAAAGAAGACATATTTTGATGAAAAAACCTGGGTTTTTCAGCTACTTAGTATCTTAGAAAATTTTTGAAACTATAGTAAATAAATATGAGAATCATTAAATTACTGACTTAGACCAAGGTTTTTGTTGTCATGTAAGTTTACTATATAAATGCAAATGTTAAAACTACACAGTCGCTTTAATTTTAAATACTAAAATAATCTCCTTATTCAAACCCTTGACTTACATACTAGAGTTCTTACTGAAATTTTTCTTGAATTAGTTTTAACTTTTTCAGTAAATGTGTCCAAAAATGATTTGTTATAGTACTTGTCAAATTAAGAATCATCTTGAAGTTAAAGGGGTATTTTCAACAACAGAAAGGCTATATTTTATTTTACTGTTAGTAACATAACATCATAGCTCAATTCAGCTCATATAAATGCTAGAAACAAACAGCAGGTTAAAAACATGGAGAGCTTACAATATAAACAACAAAAAGTTACCATAATTTATACAGATACAGTGCTCACAAATTAATCTTTAAAAACTATGAAAAAGTAATTCACAGAATAAGAATGACCAACAACATAAACAAAACCCATCTTCAATAAAGTCACAGAAATTTTAAGAGGATAAGTTTTAAGAGGATAAGTCATTTTGATAGCAAATTGACAAAGATTTGTAAAAATAATAATGCTATGAGCTGTCACTTTCAGAATTTGTCATTGGTTATCTCCGGGTGGTAGCACTAAGGTTTATTTACTTCTTTTCAGAGTATCAATATTTTCCAAAATGTCAATAGAAAATATGCACTTATTTTTAAATAACAAAAAATTAACTGAGGATTGCTAGATAAAGCATCAGAAAAATTTATACTGATAAAACAAAATGTTCCGGAAAAGAAAAACTAAACCCAGGGTCTAACCTGGAGGCTCTAAATGTCAGAGGGCTTCCAGGGTAAGAAGCCTACAACTCAAGTCAATGAGGAGCTGACAGCAGCTTTTACTTCACCAGAGTGTTGTCTACTTACTAGACACACACAAAGACACACATGTTATGTGGCAAGAACTCTAAATGCCAATTACTCATTTTATTTCAAAATAAAACATTTAAAAGAAGAGTTAAAAAAAAAAGGTAGTGACTTGTTATAGGAAAACTTATGAAGGATTAGATATATTTGATATACTTCTTCAAAAAGGTCTCTTTCTGGATAGCAATTTTAAAAGATTGGTCTCTGCCTAAAGGAACAAATTATATCCATATATTTATAGCTTACAAAAACAAGGCAAGCACATGTTGAATCCTTTTAAAAAATATTTGGGGGCTTAGACAACTCATGCGGCCAGTCATGTGAAGACCACTGAGGGGCAGTTTATAGCATCATGAAGGAGGTATTATTTGCTAAATCTGTAAAAAGATGATTTATCATATTTTGACCAATTCCATTAAGTTATAAATAACAAATCAGTTGCTGCAAGGTAAATATAAACAGACTCACAAAACAGTAATAGACACACTTTATTGAGGTACAATGCCTTTCACCACCCAACAGCTGTAAATACTACCATCAGAGAGGACAATTGCCTAGCACAAAATACCAACGTTTGTTATCTTCAAAACTGTACATGTCAAACCACTGGGACACCTAATAGCCTCTCACCTTCAAATAACAAAAAAACCTAAAACATACATAAGTAAAAACTCCACAAACCAACCAAACAAAAACAATAATCAAATCCCACTTAAAAAAGGCAGCAGCGATGTCTAGAAAGAACATTTGCTATCCCCCAAAACAAAACAAAACAAAAACTGATTCCACTTACTCACTGTGTAATCACTCTCAGCAGCCTCAGGGTTTTTAAAATTTGTTTGCTTATAAATCAGGAAAGTGGGAACAGTATCACCTACTTCATAAATTTGTTATGAGGTTTAAATGAGGTAAATACCATATGAAAAGCCCTTTGTAAACTGTGAAGTTCTATGCTATTCCTAACAGACTTAATACTTTTATTCATACACACAAACTTTTTAATAAATTGCTCAGCACAGTATATTGCGGAGAAGACTACAGGCTTTCCTACTTTCAAATTCTCTAAGAAAGAGGCTTCTAACTATTTTTCTGGGTATGGTTCTGCTTGGCGATATGTGACCTCTAGGTCTTTCATTATAATTCTAATAATGCATGTACTGCCAAGAAACACTGCTCTGTTCCTAAACTGATATAAACCTTTTTCTAATCAAAACTCAACTCGCCAACCAAGTTTCTTCAACCATAAGTCCGTAATACATTGTGCCCCCAGACTGAATTCCCCAAAAATGATCACTTCTGTGTTCTCTATACCATATAGTTACTTGGTATAAGACTTCACTTCTAATCTATATTCTCAAAATAGTGTTTTAGGGTAGGTTTAATTAATTGTTTTAATTATGAAAAAGTAGAAAGTCCTGATAGATCTATATACCCTTATTTGTCACATGTCTAATACTAAAATATCAGGTTTTGATATGTGCAAAATATTTCTTTCTTACTATGTATCTAACATGCTAGAAGATAAAACAGTATCGTTACCTTTTAACTAACAGTGCTAAATCATCACGGATGCTAAAAGTAATAAAATTCTGTTAATAACAGTTATTGAAAATTAACATTTACTAAAATGAATTAAAAAATAACATTAAAAAAACTAATAACTGTTTTCTTATTTTCATGGTGGTATTTCTTGGGTGACACTCCACAGGTCAACAGAAAATGCCAATGCACAGAAAGCTGGGCAATGCTGATTTTAGAGGCTACCAATTGAATCTGGCAAGGTTACGATGCTCAAATCTTGGTATTATAACTGCTAAAAAAATCACTTCAGCTAGTGAGACTGATGTCTCCTAACCATTAAACTAAATTTACACACACACACACGCACAGATTTATGATACCTGAATGTCTGATGTGTTTGAGAATAAAATATATATATCTTTCCTTTCCGTTTTCCTTTTTCTGAGGGAGGGAGCCAGGTCCTCAATTAAAAAAAAAAAAAAGAGACACCTAACAGGTCATACCATGGCAACATGACAGTATGGTATTTTGGGTCAAGTCGGGGTTTCCCCGCAGCACTCTGTCCTTCACAAGTCTGCTGCACTGTTTGCACCTCTCCCCACCACCAGCGTTCATTCTAATGTACAGTTTCTATCGCAACTTCCTGGGCCCAGGCCTAACCGACATACACACACATTCTTCTATTTCCCCTTTCTTTACAGAAATCAAGCATCACTTTCATTACAAAAATCATCCCAACTATACCCAACAACAAGAACGTCGAAGTAAATCTAAAAACTCACAGAAATTCAAAATGAAGGAGGCTGGAGAGTAGTGTATAAGAGCATAGTTGACAGAGAGGCCAAGATTTTATAATTGGCTGCCACATTTACCAGAATGCAATGTAATGATAAAAAATAGTCCAGACAGCCTGGCTAGCACGATATACGTATTTATTATACAAAGGTTAACACAAGAGGGTGTGGTGGTCTTGGCATAACCAGTAAGCACTTAATAGAAGTGGAAGTTATGGGAGATAGATTTCAGATCAATTTAAGGAAGAGCTAAGGATTAGAGCTGTACAAAAAAGGAATGGGTTACCTTATGAGGTAGTGGGCTCCCTGTCATTAGAAGTATTCAAGAATGCTGCATATCATATCCCCCTCTTGGAGAGTCACAATGCACATTAGCATATTAAAGGTTCTGAGAAGTCCTGCAGTAAAGAAACCTGTTTAACTTTGTTTAACGCAGCATTTCCCATATTATATGACCAAACATTTTTCCGCCCCCACCCAACCTCAATAATATTTATCCATTTCTGTGGAACTAGAGTTCCTCAGAATACACTATAGAAAATAATGAGCTACATTTTTAAAAAATGTAGTATTCAACATTTACCCGAATAACAATCTATCAGGGATATAGGAGAAGAAATTGCCACATCGGGTAAAAGGCTGGAAAGAAAAGGTCTTAAGGTCCCTTCTCTGAGACCCTATGATTCTATCACAACTCAGAGTAAAGGGCTATTTGGGTGTTGATTATTTATTTTAAAAGGTTCCATGAGAGAAAGGCAAGTAGAATAAAAAGGTAGTAAATTCAAGGTTAACTGGTCCAAATGCCTCCCTTTAATGTTCAAAGCCCAATCCCTACAAGGTAAAAGAGACACCTCAAGGACCATAAGTTATCAAAAAGAAGCCTTAACTTAGTATCTACTCCACACACTAAATTAATTACTATTTGAGAGCGAGAATTAAAAAAACAAAAAACAAAAAAGATAGCCTTGCATTAGGGGACTACCCTATTCCAGCTATCTTGTTTGAATTTAATTTTTTCTCATAATACATGCTCTCCAAATAAGGTTAATATTTGTTTGATCCTTAGTCACTAGACTGCCCTGTGCAATCTGTGATCTTGAATTAGGCATTCAAAGAAATGATTAAGTGTGATGATTTATAAGTTGTTAAAGAAGACATTAGGGAAAAATGTGTTTGCCTATATGCCCCACACTGCTACATTTCTCTCTATTTTCTTCTCTTTAAGAATTATACAAAACAATACACACTAAAAATGTAATATCAGACATAAAGCCAATCCAACATTAAATTTAAGAATATAAATGCTTAAGAGTGCCAAATTTCAAAGTCAAGTTTCCCATAGTTACATGAACCTACCCTTTTTGCACATATATTAAGGCCATCAAATTTAACAGCATATTAAGTAATACAAAACACAATGGGAACCTTAACTTTTGACTATCCTGACTTTTGAATGTTCAGCTCTAACCACTGCATTAAGGACATTTTTGGCACAGGAGAACTTTATATTTTAATAGGTTATCGAATGTAGGAACATGCAAGCCTACCAGTATTATTAGAAACACAAATGCATTTGAGATATGGCTATGTGAAATTAGACAAAAATTCACTTTTACTCAGTGCAAACAGCAAAGCCTCATTTCTGAGAAGACAGTTGTGCCAAAAAGAAAAGAAAAAAATTCACAACATTTGAATAATTATCCAACTAACATCAGGCACACTATGACTGCCTGGTAAAAAAAGTACTTACCAATTTGGGGGAAACTGGCTCTCCTTCAGCTCTCTTGCTCCCTATAACAGAAGAAGGAGAAAATGGAAATCAGACTACAAACACAGATTTATTATATGTATCTAAAGCTGAAGACTGAAAGATTTCTATACGATTTTAAGAAGAAAAAAACCAAAACACAGAAAAACCTCTAACGCTCTAAAACCCAAAAGAGAGAAAGGAAGAAATAGGTAGTTTTTACAGCAAGGAAAGAATTCAAGGGCAGTTAAATCTCTAATTTTCCAGTTTTTTCACTTTTCAACAGTTTTTTCAAGACAAGGAAAAGTAAGTAGGTGACGGTTTTGTTTTCCTAAGAGACACACAGAAATGAAATGCACCTATCTAAAAAACACACAAATACACTATCATCCCCAACCAATCACCTTCAGTTTGTTGCTTTATATTAACAAATTAAGCTAACATCATTGGCCCTTAGTTTGGTCTACTTAAAAGGCCTTTTTTTCAATTAATCTTGAAATGGATTTGGCTTCTATAAAGCTTTAAAATTCACAGCATTTTATATGTATAGTCATAATTTTAATTAAACTTTTCATTTACATTCTTAAAGTCTCACTACTTTAGACTATAAACCACATAACATAGAAGTGATTTTCCTGATGCCACATATTTAATCAGTGACAAAACCAGAAAAAAAACCAAGGTTTTAGGATCCCAATCCAATGCTCAGTGATGCTTTCATCAATTATGTCTTCTTCAGATTAACTAAACTCCATTAAGCTGACTTCAAGGTCAGGATGGTCAAGTCAGCTGTACTGTTTATTTTTAATTTTCCTGCCCAAAACGTCTCAGTTAAAAAAACTAGAGAACAAAAATTTAAACTTTTCCCCCAATATTTTAGTATTAAATTATTTAAACTCCACGACCATGCTCTAAAACTATACATATCTTCCTTATGCTTTAAACATAGTACGTTTGTTGACTGATGTTATTCCAATAAATGTTCTCATATCATCAAGGGATATTTCAAAAAAGTCCTCATGTCATCCAGATCAAAAATTTTTATTTAATCATGTACAGTCATAGCAAACAGACAGTAAAATAATTTAAAAGGGCCCCAATTCATGCAGTTAACATTCATTTCCAAAAGAAACTGAATTTGCTGTTTTATCCTGCCTTTTCTTTAGCAATACTTCTTAAAGTTCTCAAGTCCACATAAATGGCATTTTCAATCACCAAGATTAGAATAACTCCCAAGCAAAAGAAAAATCATGCAAAAATCTACAGAATATGGTTATTAAAAAGTGGATTCTCACAAGGAAAAAAGAATTTAAAATTATGTGCAGTGATGGATGTTCACTAAACTTATTGTGGTGATCATTTCACAATACATACATGTATCAAATCATTATGTTGTACATCTGAAACTAATACAATGTTATATATTTCAATAATATCTCATTTTTAAAAAGTGGATTCTTAACACTACTTATACCACCGTACCACTCAAAACAATATCATGCACATAATAAATGCTCAGTAAATGTTTCTTAAATGAATGAATTCACTGATGGACCCTTAACCCTGTTGCAGGCTTATTTTCCCTATTAGGCATTTCTTGCTAGCTTTTTCATGCTGGAGATAATTTCATATGCATCAAGCCCACAGCATTATTTGTTAAATGAATGACTTTGGACAAAAACAGTTGATTAGAAAGTTAAATATTACCATTTTAAAATATAATGAAAAAGGGAAAGACTGATAATTTGGACTACATTAACATTAAGAACTTCTGTTCATCAAAAAACAAAAAAAATTAAGAGAATGAAAAAGCCAGCCACAGAATCTCTACATAATTGCAACACGTATAACAATGGCTTATACCCAGAATATATGAAACACGTTGAAACTCCAAGTGACTAGGATAAGGTTGGGATTCTAGCTTTTACTTATATGGCATTTGAGAAAGTACAGTCACATAAACTTTTCTGAAAAGTCACATTCAGTAAAAAGGCACAACAGATGTACACCTTATCTCCAGGACATGTCTCCAAAAATCAGTGGTAGAGTCAATCCAAAACTGATAAAGAATTTTACCATGATATCATAAAACTGCTTGTAGGGACTGCAGAAATCACATAGGAAATCAAAGCCTGAGAGGTTAAGTGACTTCCCCAAATGTCACACAGCTAGATGGTAGTAAAGCTGGAGAAGAGCTTCCAGACCCTGAGATTCCTTCGACTGAGCTGGTCTTGCTATGAGATCTCACTTCCTCTTAACCAGCTGCAGCAGTTGCTCGTCTAAGAAGGAAACTACAATAAATACTGGCCAAATATATATTTTTTTAAGTCTGTATATAAAGTTTTAAAGAAAAGTCATGTAAGTAAGCTATCTAAGAGCAGGTTTTAAAACCTGAGATCCTTTATGTGTGCCTAATGGATCCTTGTGAATGGGCTTCAGAGGGGTTTGCCAACTCCATAATACTATATACTAAACTTTGTATGTATGAAAAGTCTGGGAAAAGGACTCACAGCCTTACTAAGATTCACAAACAGGTTCAGATGCCCAAAAAGAGTAAAAAATCATTTTTAGACTAGTGATTCTTAAATACTGTGCATCTAGAATTACAAAAGTGTTTCTTCTGAAGACTGATTATTGACTACTATTTGGAAATTGATTTAAAAAATACATATACTTTATTTCTATAATTTAACAGGAATGAATTAGCAGCAAAAAGATTGATATATAAATCTGTACTTTTCGCACGATCCATAAACAAAACCTATTCAAAGTCTTAAACGAAAGTTTGATTTTCCTCATGCTACGTTGACTGGAAGTCCACTTAATTTGTTTCTCATACAGTTCATACTTGTAGCTAAGGAAGTTCAAAATTTTAACCACATTTGCTTAAATTTTTAAAATATAGACTTGTTCTCGAAAAATACATTCAAAATACATAAGTTGGAGTAAATGAAATTATTTTTGCTTTAGAGATGAATATTATCTTGCTAACATAACTTCACACGATTTTTTTGCAAACTGAAGATTGTTCACCAGTCCAGATCTTCATAGGTAGATTCTTTAATTAGCCCTGGTAAAGAAATGAATTGTTCAGATTTCTGATGTGGTGGTAAAATTTAAAATATCATTAATAAATCAAAGGTGACTAATAACTACTTAAGTACTTTTTATGAAATACCTAAAACCTCTTTATATTAAGAATATATATTAAAAAATAAACCAATTTTGCAGAGAAAATGTTCAATACTAGATCATGTTTTAAATTAGGCTAAAATTTATCCCACTACAAATCTTGAGCGATTAAGTTTCTAGTGTACGCTCAATCATAAATTTTGACAAGGGACTAGAATAGCACAGAAAATTGTCATTCAAAGACACTTTAAAATGTCACCTTACAGAGAAGACTCGATCTCTTCTCTTTCTCTACTACACATGATACACTAATTTTATATACAATAAGTTTTACTGCTTTTTATCTACCTTTCTTAACTTCTAAACAGAAAGCATAAGTTTGAAATAAATTTAAACGCAAATAAGTGCTCAAAAGAAGAAGCAGAATCCTGCTTAATGAAATTTGGTCCTTTAGGACCCAATAATATAATCATCCCTCTCAATCTTACTCTCATAGACAACCCTCTAGCACTCCTCCCTTCACTTTCAAGAAGCATCCATTCTTCCCTCATTACTGGATCATTTTGTTTGCTCTATCTTAAAAAAAACAACAACAAAGTCTCCCTTAACTCTACATCCTTCTCTAGTTATTGTCCTATTATCTATGCTCTATTTTATAGCAAAACTCCCTGAGGTGTTAACCACACTCACTGTGGTCTCTAGTTCTTCTCCCATTGTATACTGAACCCATTCCACTGGAGGTTTTGCCTCCCTCCATTGTTAAGATCACCAATGACCTCCCTGTTGCCAAATCCAAAAGCAAAGTCTCAGCCCTAGCTTCCTTGTTTGATCAGTATCATGAGACCCAGTTGATAATTCCTTCCTTCTTGAAACCCTTTCTTCTCTTGACTCCCACTCACTCTTGATTTTCCTCCTAATCTCTCTGGCCACTCTTCTGGGTTTCTTTTCCTGGTTCCTTCTCATCTCTCAAGACCTCACTATGTTGAACTGCCCTAGGGCTCAGTTCTTAGAACTCTTCCTATTAGGTAATCTCACCCAGTCTCCGGACTATAAAAGGATCTGTACACTGGTGGTTCCCAAACTAGTACCTCCAGCCCAGACCTTTCCCCTGAATTCCAAACTCTTCTACCCAACTGCCCACTCAATGCTTGTCAAAACTGAACTCTTGACTACCCATCCCCCAACCTCCTCCTCAGAGTCATCCCCATCTCAATAAATGACAACTCCATCCCTTCAGGCCACAACCTTCAAGTCATCATTAACTCCCCTTTTTTCCACGCCCTACATCCAATCCAATAGCTAACCATCTAGCCTCTACCTTCAAAATACACAGACTTTGACCACTTGTCTGAACTCCACTACCGCCTCCTTGGTCAAAAATACCATCATCTTTCACCCAGATTATTCAATAGCCTCGTAACTGGCCTCCCCTCTTCCATCTTTGTCCTACTACCGTCTATTCTCTCAGCAGTCAGAGTGACATTTTCAAAGTCCAAGATAGATCTGGTTACCACTGGCTCAAAATCCTCCAGTGGCTTCCCACCATACTCAGAGAAAAAGCTAACGTCCTTTACAATGGCCCACAAGGTTCTACGTGACTTGGGCCTAAATACTGAGACCTCATCTCGGCCCCCCCTCCCCATTGCTCAATCTGCTCCAGCCACGATAGTCTCTTTTCTGTACTTCAAAAACTCCAAACAAGTTCCCTTCTCAGGAGTCTCCTACTTGCTTTTCCCTCTGGCTGGAACACTCTCTTTCATCAAATCTCTCCATGGCTTACTCCTTCAAAATGTTTGGGAAATCTACAGCAGATGCAAGATTGGAATACTAAAATAAAGACTAACACTTATCAGAATTGTTCCCCTCCCCAAACTTTTACTTTGGGGATGCTCTTTCTTATACCAAGAATACC